ACCTCAACATAACAAAAAGGTGGAAAAACTGAGTGATCATTTCTGCTAACTGGAGAGTTGACCAGTAAATACCAAATTTATCCAGTATTGTGTACATAATTAACTTTCAAAAAGTCACTGGACTGTTGTTAGAAACAAAGATTTACTGTGGCATTCACTGTTCTACTATGAAAAACCATCAGAAAGATTTGGCAGAAGGCTATCATGAGTCTGTAAGTCTCGTCCCAGTTACTGACTCTTAAAGACCTGAAAATCTCAAACCATTTTAGGTAGATAAATGTGCTCAGGCCTTGCTGCTATCGACAGCCACAACTCAAGCAAATGAAGAAAAATGCAGCTATTAAATACCTATTTTTCAAAGCAGCACAGAGTATCTCACCTTGTCCATCTCACTTAAACAGTGCATGTCAGCTTCAAGTCCATGGGCACCTGCTTGCAGACATATTTCCTCAGCTATGGCTTTTGCCTGTCCCTTTTGTGTTGCATAGAGGAGCAAAAATCTCCTTTTTAAATCGCAGCACATTTTCCAAAACAAGGAATGCTTTACTTATTTATTTTTTTAAAGACACTGCAATGAAAAAAAGAGAAAGAAAATGTGAATTTACTGCAACAGCAAGATTTTGCACTCTTTGACAGAGATACCTTAAGTGCACAACAGTATTGCTGTTTAACCTGGAAATTAGGTATCTGCTATGAAAAGAAGCCACTTCTCACAAGCAAACTTTGCAGGGCACAGTGTTAAGGACTCGTGGTATTTACCACACATGCTGTACTGCAGTTACACTGCAATATGTAAAGTCAAGAATCTAGCACATAAGCAGTGCAAATAGACTGGCTCAAAATTAAATACTATTTTTATGATCTAAGTTTTATTTTCCACTTTAAGTCGGTGGCTGCCTTAGTCTCCTTTCTGAGATACATTTCAAAATAAAAGAATACACAGATTTGGTGATATCCAAATACAACTACAACAATTGACAAATATCTTCTAAATTCTTAATTTCATCTTCTCTGAAATCACTAATTTTTGCACAAATGCACTTAGGCTTCATCCTCTGTGATTTTATTTTAGAAACAAATATTATTTTTCATTCCCTGATTCAAGAAGGTGCTTGTTACAGAAATGCAACTACAGCATCTATTTGTTTTGGATGTTGTTTCTTTTTGTTGAAATAAGAAAAAGATCTTCTGCAGGGTAAAATGCCACTCCTTCACAAAGTGTTACAAGAAGTAGCATGAGTGAGATGCGTATCTTTGTCTATAAAACTTCTCTACTTCTCTCATTCAAACTTTTATGATTTTGACACAGACAGAATACAAAAGATACAAGGACAGTACCAAGGACTACTGGATGAGACAAGTAGAATATTTCTTATGCATATATTACAAATTAATCCTCCGCCGATATTTTGCTATTACTAGAGAGATGCAACAAAACCAAAATACCCAGAATTAAAACTCAATAATTTCAGTTTCAAAATTGAGATTTTTTCCACATTCTTGCACCCGGCTTCTTGTATTTCGCCTACTGCCCACCCAGATTCAACTACATAACACATTCAGCCTACTAACCACACCACACATCCATTTGTGAAAACCTATTTCAAGATCATTTGAGGCATTATTTTTTGCTGTTTCTACCGGGGAAAATAGAAGAATACTGTACTATGCACACATGGCAAGATATTTCTCCCAACACTACAAAGTAAAGTATCTCCTATTAGAATACATATATATATTTAAAAGCACACTTGTAAATGAAAAGTGGTAAAACTAAGTGATAGCTTCTTAAGAGCACTCCGGCTGTGCCATACCTGAACTCCAAGAAAAATGCAATTACTGGAAAAATAAGGCTTTCATTGTATTTTGTACCTCTATGTTTCCCAGCATAATTTTTTACCTTAAATTGATTATATTCCCTACAGATATTTAAACAAATTCATTCAAATAACTCTTTTCATACAAGCAAAGTAATCCACAGAATGATTTCTTGCTCTCCTTTTTCAGAAGAAATTTTTGTTTGACAATACAGAAATTGTGAAGATTCATATTAAATACATTTTTAATACCCTCAATCTCTCTAGAAATACATATTAATCCTACTTCTATGCTATGCTTTCACCCTAATCACTCTCCTGTCCGCAAGTGGAAATGCCTGGCTAAATAAATGGATAAAAAAACCAGTAAAGATGAAGTGGTGTTTAATTACTACATTCTTTCTCATATCTAACAAAGGAAGAAAGATTATCAGGTTTCCACTTGGGATGCATGGTACCACAGAAGTCTTGTATAGACAGAAGTCTGGAAGCTAAGCAACCAACATGCTTCTTTTCAATTGGAAAACATGTGCATTGGAGAGATGCAAAACATTGCATTTGGAGAGATGGACTGCCGTGTATATGTGAATCCCCAGAGACCCTTCTAACTGGTGTTAGGGGCTAGTAGATTTATAGAGACAGAAGTCAGACCTACATCTCCTACAGAAGATGCGCAAACAAGAAAACTCACAGGGCCTAACAAGGAAACTGTGCTAGATATGCATTCCTCCTGAGAGAAGGAAATGTGCATATTTAATGGTGCGTACATGTACTTGCCAAAAAGGACAAGGCCACAATGACATGATTCCTTGTAATTAGGCATAGATGGTTGTTTTGTAGGAATTTATCAATATTTTACAAGTCCATGATATTATCTGTTTCATTGCTGCTATTAATCCTGAAAATACAGCTTAATTAACTGATTAAACAACAGTTCAATTAACTGCTTGACAGTTAATTATGTCATTAATAGATTGAGAAATTGCTTTGATCTTGATTCACACCAAACACTGTGTCCCTATGAAGCATTCTATCTCTGACATCAACCAGAAGAGCTTCAGGCACAGACTGTTCAAACGATGCCTATTAAAGGAAAATGAGCCACACCTACCCACAGACAAGTGTAGTCATAGAAGAGAAACACACTCACATTCAGGGGAGAATGTTGCCTACATTGCTTTTGCTTTCCTGCTCTATACACTCTTCAAAGATGATATTCCATTTATATGATATGGATTCAACTGAAAAAAAATAGAGAAAAAAAAGATAAGAAAAGCGTAATTCTTTTATACTGAGCTGTCTAGAGAAGTACTCTAACTTGGGTGCTATTACAAATTACAGATTTATAGGAGTTGAAAGGGGCCTCTACACTTTATTTAGTCCAACACCAGCACTAAAGCAGGTTCCCTACTGTAGTCACACAGAAAGTGTCCAGACAGGTCTTGAATATCTCCAGAGAAAGTGACTCCAAAGCCTCTCCAGACAGCCCGTCCCAGTACTCTGTTATTCTCACACTAGGGAATTTCCTTTTCATGTTGCGTGGAACTTCCTGTGCTCCAGTTTTTACCTATTACCCCTTGATCTATCTGCACACCACTGAAAAGAATCTGGACCCATTCACTTGTCTCCTGCTTTGGGTATTTATAAACACTGATGAGATCCCCATCTAAGACTTTTCCTTTCCAGGCTGAACAGCCACAGCTCTCTCAGCTTTTCCTCATAAAGGAGATGCTCCAAGCCTCTCTCATCCTCTGCTGCACCCTTTCTAGAAGTTCCCTGTCTCGAGCTGAGGAGCCCAGGACGTACTGAAGTACACGGTACTCCAGATGTGGCCTCACCAGGGCAGAGGAGAGGGGAAGGATTACCTTCCTCGACCTGCTGGCCACACTCTTTGGAAGGCATCCCAGGGTCCCACTGGCCTTCTTGGCTACAAGGGTGCATTGCTGGCTCGTGGCCAGCCTGCTGTCCACCAGGACACTGAGGCCCTTCTCTGTGCAGCTTCACAGAGCAACAGTGTTTTAACAGGTTTTATGTTGGCAGTCACGTGCCAAAAACCAATACAATGTTTAAGCTGGGAAAACAAACCAGGATTTGCTGATTGCAGGGTTGCTAGAATTAAGGTAGTTTGGTTAGGTTGCGGTTGGACTTGATGATCTTTGAGGTCTTTTCTAACCTGAGAAATTCTATGATTCTATGACTCAAATTAGGGCTTAACAAGAAACTAAGGAAGAAAATCTGCATTATAACTAATTTGATTTAGTGCTCAGAAGAGTCAGAATACTCACAGTACTCAGAATATTAACAGTGAGTCCATCAGCTCTGCGGCCAACACACTGTAGGACCAAGCAAGCTATTTATGCATGCCCTGGCACGCTTTCATAGAGGCAGGGGCACCAGCACTGGTAGTTACACAGCTTTGAAGGGCTCTCATCACTTCTTATATATGTCTAAAGTGCAGGAGTCAAGTAGATGGGGCCAAGCTCTTTTCTGTGCTGTACAGCAATAGAACAAGGGGCAACAGGCACAAACTGCAACACAGAAGTTCATATGAAGGTGAGAAAAAACTTAGAGGGCGTTAGAGCCCTGGAAGAGGCTGCACAGAGAGGCTGTGGAGTCTCATTCTCTGGAGATATTCAAAACCAGAGTGCTTTCCTGTACTAACCCCTACAGGGAACCTGCTTTGCCGGGGGCTGGCACTAGACGGTCTCCAGAGGTCCCTCCCAAACCTCCCATTCTGCCAGCCTATGTCCCACAGGCCGGGCTAGCTGGCTAACGCACACGGTTTGGCAGCGCTTCATCCTGAGCGGCCGCAGACGGGATAAAAACAGAAGAAACTTCTGCAGTACCTTCACGCTTTTCCGTGGGCTTTAAGCTGGATGGCGACACCGCGACCTCACAGGCAGGCCAGTCCGTGCATTGTTTTGTTTTGTTTCTTTAACAGGAGCTGGCTTGCTGGGAATCACTTTCTCTCTGTCCCAGGCAGCAGAATAGGTCCGTCCCCTTCCTCTCCCTCCGGGCTGAGACGAGAAGCGCGGAGTGAGGACACATCCGCTTTTATGTCACCTCCGGAAGTCAGAGCAGCCGGAACGCGGCAAGCCCCGGTTCCGTGCAGCTTGGCACCCCGGCACTCCGCAACCCGGCCCAGCAGCCTGCTCGCTTCGGGGCCCCGGCCCAGGCGGCAGCGCCCGGAGCCCGCGGCACCCGGCGGGGCCGAGCCAGTGAACGCCGGAAGCTCCCGTCGTGCCGCGCTACCCGTCATGGCGCTGGAGGTGAGGCGTTGTCGGGTCCGCGCCGCTTCTCCGGCGCCCCGAAGGGCCGAGGAAGGACGAGGAGCGAGGGGGAGAGGCGAGGGCGGGTTCGTGCGCTCACGTCTTTTTCTTCTAGGTGTCTTCTGAGGACACGCTCGTTCCGACATGGCTTTGATCAGCCTGAAAAGCTTCCACTTCTGTTCACCCGGCGCACCAGCGAGCAGGCGTATTTTGATGACCCTAAGCAAAAGCTTGAGCTTCGTCAGCGGACGGCGAAAGCCCCAAAGCTATCGTGCCACGGCCGTGAGGGTGCTGTGTTCCAAGGACAAGTGTCGGGATGCGTTTTGTCGGAAAAGCCACGTGCAGCTGCGGATGCGGTCCCTTTCTGTTAATGAAAGCGTGCATCTCTGTGGGGATACGGGCAGCAACGCTAAGGCCGACGAGCGGTGGACGGAGGAACAAATGTTCTTCAGGACGTTGAAAAGCCTCTGTACATCGCAAGAGATTTTTAAGTTTCTTCGCTCCTTGGAAGTTATGTCTGATACTATGGCATCGGGAGCCCTGCAGAGGATTTCTGAAGTTGAGGTGGATGACAACGGCCTGAAAAACCCTGAAGATGTGCTAGACAATGAAGTTTTCAGGGCATTATGCTTTCAGTTTGAATTTCAATCCTCAAAATTGTCCAACAGTGGGCTGCTGAATGCACTGCAAGCTTTGATAAAGCTGCGTGTAGATCCCCAGAGTACACTGATAGCACGCTTGCTTTCAGAGAGTGAAGAGCGGCTTGCTAACAGAAAGCTGACTGTTGACAATCTCTGCTCTCTTGGAGAGAGTTTGCTCGAGTTGAAAGGCCCAAGTTATGCTATACTGGAACAGATTGTGAGCCGCATGCAAGAAAAAGACATTGAGAACTGGAGTCCTAGGGAAATGGCGATGGTTTATAAGATACTGCAGGTGGTGGTTGGGGAAAGGGAACACTGGGACTTGCTAAACAGAATGAACAGTGCCACTTTAACCATAGCTTACCAGCTGAGTCCAAAGTTCACAAGTGTAATACTGAATTCGCTGGTGGCTCTCCATCAGACTCAGGTAGTTCCCCTAATCTTAGCACTATGTAAGCATTCTGGAAAGCATGTTCCTCACTTTACTGATGATGAGTTGGTAAGCGTACTGGAAGCCTTCCTGTTCTTTGGACACCGTGAACAAATTTTTACAGAAGCACTGGAAAAGCATGTTCCCAAGTCCATCCCTACTATGCATCCTGAAACTGTCAGCAAAGTCATGCAGTACTGCTGTCAGAAGAAGATCCTTTCGAAGCCTATCTTGGATGCAGTGGCAGAAGGTTTCATTTCTAATGCTGACAGCTTTACCACTGACCAGATTACTGAATATATTGTCCCATTCGGGACTTTAAACTACCTCCCTCCAAATGCTTCTTCCTTGTTTAGGAAGCTTGAAACAATACTACATGCTCGTTTTAGTCAGTTTCAGCCTCACACCTTGTTGAATCTGCTGCACTCATGTGTTCTTATTCAGCGTTATCCAGTGAATTTTCTGCCAAAAATATTTAGTCCCTTTTTCCTGCAACAGCTTCAAGGTAAGAAGTGGTGTTTCTCCACCAGCACTCTCCATTTCTCACTATTTTATGGTATGTCTAATCCTGTCAAAACAACCAGGAGCTGATAAGGGTGACTGGAGAAAAGTTATCAGGAGGCTTCCCTGTCACAGTTGCAATTACCTTTCAAGTTCATCATTCAGTAGAATTTGAAAATTGCGCTGCAGTCTTAAACAGAGATTTCAAATTCCACAAAAATTCTATTTCACTTAATCATGCCTTTCCAAAAAATACCACCCCTCTGATTTTCTCTGTAGTTGTCCTTCATCTTACACACATTTTTTAGATGCTTCTGCCGGGCTGCATTGTGTCCAGCCTTTCAGGTGAGTTTAAAATAGAACCAGGGCCTCATCTATTAATTTTCCTGTTCTGTCCTTTCAAGATACAGATTATTGTATTTTTGCTTTCAATTTGGTTTTATTTCCCTTCCATATTGTTTTGTAATCATCTTCTGAAAACTAAAAGTGATACATGGATAAATCTGATAAAAGATATTGTGCAGTGCATAATTTATGGCTTAATTAAATAAAAATAAGCCTGTAAAACATAGTAGTGTCATAATATACCAGCCTGTACTTAACTGCTGGCTTTTATTTTAAAATATCTAGATAAAAATATGAATTGTGTTCTAAGGCTCGTATATTTTACTGATTCATAAAGATTGGTGCTTTGCCCTGCTTTATAAATTACTTTGTGCTTTAATGTGGTTACCTGGTGCTTCTTCCCGCTGGCACCGTATCTGCCAACTACACTTCTGACGTGGTTCTGCTCTGTGCCCCTCTTTGTTCCATGCCCTGAGCTCCTGCCTGTAGTGAGCACTACAATTCCATCCTCAGGGTTTCAGGAAGAAGATGGAGATGCGTAATTGTCCAAGACTTCAGCTGAAGTTTATGCCTTCCTGTAGAACATCTTGCATTTCTCAGATCTTCCTTTTTTTTTTGTGAAAGATTCTGACAGCCCCAAGATCTTGCTGACTGTATATTTCTCATGTTGATATTTCTGTAAATCAGTTCCTTATTTTTCTAAATAAATCATTTCATAGCTGGTCTTTCTGTTCATTCATATAAGGATGAATACAGCTGCACGTTTAACTGAATATCTTTTCCTAATTTCTGCATGACAGCATATGTGAAGTTACCCTGCTGAATGTAAACCTGTAAACTTGAATATTGTTGTTTCAGCTCAGCCACCTGGTTTGGACAGAGTTGTTGCCTCCCAGCTAACACAGCTTTTTCTAACCATTACCCTGGAGTGCCCATTTTATAAGGTACAGTAGATACAAAACTGGAACTGACATTAAAAGCAGGTGATGATGTCATTAGGTATGAGCACATTGATAGAAGCTGAGGGCTGTCTTTGCAGTAAAAACATTGGAATTGAATAAAACAACCTGTATTTCTTGGTGTAAATATGAAGTGTTGTTACTTGTTTGAATGACTGATCCATGTGTCTGTTTGAAAGAACTGACTAGCTATAAGTTCAAGTGCATTCTCTGTATTTCTGTGTATTACTTTTCCATCAACTATTACCTTTTTTAATGTTTGGTTTGTAAAGTCTTGGAGCACATAAAAGATCAGCCACTTTGATGTTGGCCTGATGAAGAGGAATGGAAACAGTTGTGCATTTCTCATGAGCAATATGTATTATTCAGCATGATAGCACAGAAGCTTGCTGAGGATGTTTGGGGGTGGGGGTGATTGGTTGGTTGGTTTTATTTTCCAGCAGGCCATACCTCACGCTGAGGTCTTCATCAGACATAGCTTTGAAATGTACCAAGCAGATTTTATTACATTATTGCAGAATTATTTTGTAATTGCCAAAAGTTAATCTTGCTTTTTCTTTTGTCTGATTGGGTTTTCTGTCATTCTATAGGGTCCCAAACTCCTTCCAAAGTATCAAGTAAATACCTTTCTCACAACTCATGGTTTTCTGGATGTTCACCTCTTCAAAAAGGTAAAGAGTGGACTACTATATTTACTGAAAAAAAGAATATATTTTTCATCAGAGGTATCAACACCATATTTCTATACAGTTGGTAAGTAACATTAGTTCTTCAAACTAATTAAATGTGTACTTACGCTATCAAAAATTCCATGTATTTTCTAGAAATAGAAAAAAAAAATATTCCCTTTGTTTGCATCCTTAACTGTGCAAATATGGAAAAAGTACACTGGAATGCAAAGAAGGCTCTGTGGAAGGTTTGAAATGGGAACTTTAACTTTGCACTTACAGTACATGCAGCAAATACCATAGCTGTACCATTAATGAAGCTACAGGCCTTGGCCTGGCTTTTACAATTGTTTATGAATCTGGACACAAGCAAGTTATTTTTCCTGAGTTCTGCCTGCCCCTTTTATAGATAAATATGTAAGTGAATGGGACACTTTTCTGCAACCCAGTCTAGGAGACCCCTGCTAGCAGGTGGTTTGACCAGATGATCTCCAGATGTCTCTTCCAATCCCTACAATTCTATGTAATTTTCGAAGTGACTTTTAACAAGGAGAGAAAATAACTGCAATGTTTACTCACCTGGACTGCTCTGAAAATAGCTGCTAACTCAGCTGTAATTTATTTTTACTGCCAGCTTCCCTTTTCCTTGTAAACAATTGTTTTCATTTAAAGCAAAATGAAATGCCACCGTGGCAATTGCCTAATCTTTCTGCTTTGGTGGTGAGTAATGAAAGGGAGAGCTGGAGGGTTGGCAGCTCAGAGCATGAAAATCACAGTAAGATGTTTGTTACATGAAATGGGTTTTAATTTCTCTCATGATTTCATCTATACTAGATATTGAGATTAAATTAGATGAAGAAGGCTTTATGTTGCCTGCTACTCAATGTGAAGAAGTACACACACGGTAAGAGAATAAAAGGTGCCACAGGTAAAATGCTGGTTAACACTGATAAAGAGTATCCAGGGTAAACCTCTGGCAAAAATAAAGTTACTTGGAATTTTGCATTGATCTCAACAACATCAAAGTTTCACATTACAACCAAAGCCAAAAAAAGACAAAGCTGGTAAAATGAGAGATCTGTACTTTTTCTTCACTGTCTTGCCTCCTGACTACAAGGTGTTAGATAATTAGTCCCTCTACCCAGTGACAGTTAGGATCAAAGAGGTGTTGGTCTGACTTACGTTAATCTATTTTGATCATGTTTAATTATTTTGCAAATTAAAATCAAATTAATTGGGAGTGCCTGCAAGGATTTAGCACAGTCTTTATCAGTTGTACTTCACAAATACACTTCTCTAATAGATCCTCTGAAGTAAGATTATTTGCCACAGATGCCATTTGCATTGAAAAATGCATACATATTTAAAAGAACAAGCTAAACACGGATTCTTTTGAGAATCCCTAGATATAAATTTGGGCACCCTTCCTGTGCTGTGGTTGCAACTGCAACCAAGTAGAAAAAACATGGTTGCAGTCCATGATGCTTGCCAACCACATATACAGGTTTAATTTGAATCACTAATATATTGAATAAATTTAGCTGCTAGATATTTCCAACATGAGACAAGTATTTTGCTTGTTTTTCCTGCTAGAAGAATTCAAAACAGCTTACCAATAGTGGTGTTAAAACTATCAAATTCTTATCATTAACTTGTGTGGAGATTTTTGTTTAGAGCATATAAATTTGTTTTTCAGATAAGTTCTGCTAAACTTCAGTCTTTCCCCTCCTTCCCTCTGAGTAATTTATATTGTCCTAAAGTAGGCAAATCCCATCCTGCATTTAATTCTAGGAGGCGTCTGGGAATAAGAGGAGGTACTGTCTCATTCTTGTTAGGAATTACAGCAATTCTAGTGACTAAGTGAACTGACTTTTCTTCTGTGCTTGATTTTAGAATTGCTCTCTGTGTTGATGGTCAAAATAGGTTTTGTGTTAATAGCCATAATCTGCTGGGAGAAGAAGCTATTAAACAGAGGCATCTTCAGTTACTTGGTTATAAAGTTGTGCAGGTAAAGTCCCTTGACAGTTTTTACTCTGGCTAACAAAACAAGTGAAAAATGATTCTTATGTAATGTTTAAAACTGTAGTTGCAATCACTTCCTAAGATAGGTATAATACTGCTCTTTCTACATGATGTTCTCTTTGCCTAGATTTTGCCTATTTGAGAGTTCATTACATAAATTCTTTTTTTTCTTGGATGAGTTAGTACTTTCTGCCTATACAAATAGTGACTGCTTGAAAGAATATTTATCTGCACTGATGACAGTTCAAATTTTGACTTAACTGAAAGCATTAAACAGTTTGGAAGGATCATGGAGTGGAAGTGACCCTGCCATGGGCAGAGACACCTGCTAGAACAGGTTGCCCAAGGCCCCATCCAGCGTGGCCTCAAACACTTCCAACACAACTCTGGGCAACATCTTCCAGCACCTCACCACCCTCTGTGTGAAGAGCTTCTTCCATAGATTTAATCTAAATCTACCCTACTTCAGCTTAAAACTGTTACTCCTTATCCTGTCATTGATGAGAATCTGTCTCGAGCTTTTTTGTAGGCCCTTTTAGTTACGAGAAGGTCACTATAAGTCTGCTTGGAGAACTTCTTTTCTCTTAGCTGAACAGCCCTAATTCTCTCAGCCTGAGTAGGAGAGGTGCTCCAGCCCTCTGACATCTTCCCGATTCCCTTCTGGATGCACTAAAGAGGTCGGGAGTTTTCAGTTTAAAATCGAATTTGGAGTTTAGAAACAAGGTATAAAAAAAGAAAAAAAGGAACTGCTTTATATCAGAAATAACATTTTTTCCAAAGCAGAGTGTATCCTTTATTTTTCCTGTTGAAATAAATAGGGATATATTTACCTATAAGCATATGCTAGACTTTCACGTTTTGGTACGCTTTTTTCCCTTTATAAGCACTTAGCACATAAGCTTAACTACTTTGTATTTAACTTAGTTTAAACTGTAATAAACATCACTATTTGCTTTGCAGTAACCTCTATTCATTTCCCCCAAGACTTACAGATCAGTAATAAACTTAGGAGTAAATGTTTTATTTTAAAATGCAACTCTGATGTGTAATTGCATGTCTATTTAATCAACGTTAAACTTACTCTTGTTGTTTATTAAAATATATTTCCAGCAATCATTTTGGTTTCATTTCCAGGTTCCATTTTTTGAAGTAGAAAGTATAAAATCTTGCAGAAAAATGGCAGAATATCTACACAAAAAAATCTTTCCTCATACATATGGACATGGCTGCTGACAATGGAGAATACCACTGTATCACAGCTTGACCTCCTGTACCATAAAGTGTACATATTGTGCATGGGAGAACCATTCTAATAACTCCATGTCAGATGATTTCACCTTCTGAATGTGTGACCTTCCAATATTTGGAACAATTAATATGTAAAGAGTAATAAAAAGCAACATATTTTCTTAAGTTTTATGTAAATATTTATTACATAGTATTAATAGATAAAAGTACCAAACAGACACTACTGCATTTTCCTTGTATTTTCACTTGTTTTAAATCACAACTGTCAGTGGACAGATAAAGCTATTTAAGGTTACTAGCTGTTGCTGAATGTACAAAATGTACCATGTTATGTACCAATCAATCAGGTTTTTTTCTTGACAGTATAATAAGAAATTATACAATTTATTCCCAGCTTTTTGTATGTTGTTTCCAAGTGTTTTAGAAAACTAAAATTTGCAGTAGGTGCACAAGCATCAGTAGCTTATTACACAGACTTAGGAGCTGTAGAGTGCTGATCACTAAATAGCACTGCTTTACAGAAAATAAAATTTTTATGAAGGTATTCTTTCGACACTGAGCATTAAAAGAAGTCAGTCACACACCTGAATGAGAAGTCATAGGATTAAAAACATGTGAAAAACATTCAAACCTGAGGGTGAGATGATACTGAAAGAGAAGTAGATGACATAAGCACAGATAAGTAAACTAATGCTGGTATCTTGCTAACTTACACTCCGTTGGTGGAAATCATCTGGAGATGCACGTTTCTCACATTGGCCAGAAGGTGGTAGTGTTCTCAAACGTTTTAGTTATTTGAACACAGATGGTTAGCAAGCATAGTGAGACTATTTGAATGAAGTAATTTGTACTGCCTGTACCAAACTAAAAATAACGTCTATAGAACATGGTCATATTTTATCTCACTTGTGATTCTTCACTTGTGATACCCTTGATAAAGCATTCTGGTGGTGTTAGAAAACATTCCTTTCTCACTTCATTCATACTGTGTGTGATTCCTTTTCATTTAATGCTGCTGGATTTCTTTAATGAAGTATTCGTTGTTGAAAAGGAACGTAGCAGTTTCTGCCCTCTTATCCACAGCCATTACTCACTGAAAGAGGGGACATTACAAGCCGTAAATACTGAAAGTGCCAAACACCTCTAAGAATGGACTGCTCTGTATAATCAGCTCCTCACATCATACCAAATACTATATCAATTGCCTAGTTCCCTGCATATCCAAGGCCCTACAGGAAGTACTTATTTGTATTATTTTTTCCTAGCAGACTCATTTCCTATTTAAGTGTCTGACAGAAGTACAGTGTCAGGCAATGCTGTGGCTTTCCAATCCTTCTTAAACAAGCGTGATCGGTCTGGCTAAATGTTTGATATTGAACAGTATCAATATTGCTTCAGCTTTAAACAACAACAGGATCAATGATGCTGCAGAACCACAAGGATGCACACCCTGCAGAAGGTGTTTCTTTTCCTGAAAATATCTTAAAACTCCACTACTGGATTCAATGAGAATAGAAGGAAGAAGGTGTTTAAGTGGCTTTAGACATTTACCTCTAGACATACTTTTTAAGCAACTTGTGTTGTTGGGTTTTTTTTAATCCTTTGTACCAAACTAATGAGTTATTGCTCTCTTTGTAGTAGAGCACTGGTCTACAAAAGTGATTCTTCTGGTGACAGATCAATCCCTCTGACAGCATTTTTCTTAACTGACGTCAGCAAAAAGGATGCCTAAAATAATTTAAATCAAAATTTTAGTGTCTTCTTACATGCTAAGCACTGAGAAGTTCCCTTTAACTTCACTTCCACTTGAACTCTAATGAAATTCCTCAGTACTTCTAGAAATCAGATCTTTATTTACTTTCTCATCCACTTTGGAAAATCTGGGTTGAATTACTGATTGAATTACTGTTCTGCAGAAAAAAAGAAAAATATGTATACAGATTTTGTAGGGATTAAGAACTGTAAGTATTAAGAAAGTATTAATACCCCGAGGAGCAAATTTAATGTTCATTCAGTGAACAATTATGTAGCTACTGCCTGAAATAGCACAGACGTCTGTTGACCCAACAGATTTAATTTCCAGTGTTGCTTCCTAAAATGTTCAGCTTTTGTGGATGTTCTACATGAGACTTCTAAGAAACTAAAAGGAGAAAACATAGATTTGAATCAGCATGAGGAAAAGTGCAGTTATTTCATATAAATCATTTTCATTAATGAAAACGCAGAAGAAAAAGGCAGAAGCACTATTCTGCATTTTGACATGCTTCTTTGCAGACAAATATTGCTGGCAATGTTAGCACGGATCCAGTCTTGGAGAAGGTTTTTCCAATAAGCACGTAATGCCATTTTTCCTGTAGAATTCTGCCTGCACACAATTAATCCTTGCATGACTTCGGATCAGCTGCTCTGTGTGCTTACTTCTGTGTCTCCCATACTCTGAAGATGACAAAACAGCGACAGGTCTTGCCATTTCCTGTGAAAATGTAACACTCTCCTTATGAGGATATCACAGAGTGAATACTTGGCAGTTAACTACTGCTAAATGTACTGTGCCTGGGGGCAAGAGAACAGATGGATCTGTACAGCATCTGCTATACAAAGGTATATTTATGTAGCAGTGATCTGCACTCTCATGTTCCATTCCTAACCTAGTTCGTTTTTTTAACGTATATTAATAGTATCACTGGATGATGAGAAGACGTGGAATTGTGCCACACCACCACCTAAGCTACATACACACACACACCCATCCACCCACCCACCCACACCCCTACACACACAAAACATACACACCCTCACACCCTGTGTGATTACTGGCAAAAGTAAACACCACATTACTGGAAAATGGCACAGATTTCATTGTTTCTTTTTCTTGTGCACTGACTTGCACAAATATGAAAACTAAAGATTTGAATACCTTACTCCAGGAGGACATGTTTGCACAATTCAGTGAAACCACGACACACACACACAAGAAAAAAAAAAAAGGCCTAAATAAAAACTGCACAACCACTATTGGCCCGTGTAACCTTTCCCCAAGGGACATAAAACATATGCTACTGGATTTGTGCACAATGAAAGGTTTTACTAAAACAGTTTGTAGCTCCAAGATTACAGAAATAACTGCTCTGCAATAATAAGAAGTGAAATTGTTAAAAAATAATCCATCCAAAACAAGATTATTCTAAGCCTGTCCTTAATAAAGTGCATTTTAAGTGGCCATACAATTACTATCTGCAATCTGCAGTTCCTTCCTGTGCTGCAGCAACAGGGAGCTCTGGAGTCAGAAGGGAAAGGCAGGCAGGATTTGTTTGTTTTGCTTTCCCTAGCCAAAGGTCTCAGATTTATCAGGCTGCTTGTATGTTTGCACACTGGCTAACACAATAAGCCTTGGTCCCCAGTGTATTTGCCTAGTACTACAACATAAATAACATCTACAAGGAGAGCCAAAAACGCAGACCCCTCACCACAGCTGAGGTGCAAATAAATGAGCTCTTTGCTACAACACAAGTCTGAGTCATATTAAAATTTATGATAGAACCTCTGAAGCACAGGAACCACCACATTTCCTGTGAGAATGCAAGATGAAGCAGAGGTACAAATAGCCTCATAGCAGCGCAGTCAGGTGTAACATAACCTGAAAGATGGACAAATCTAAATCTAAGATTGTTGGAAAAATGCTATAAGCCTTTTTTTTTTTTTTTTTTTTTCCCCCAAATAAAAAAGAAGCAGCAACCATTCTTCCTTCAACTCTCCTGCCAGCTCACTTGCTTATCTTGCACTGCCCCATTAAATGCCATTCAGTTCACCAACTTTGAACCCCACCAGAACAAAAAAAAATAAATAAATCAACAGATGAGAAGAATGGCAGGAAAAGAAACATCAGACCATTTTTGTCCCCCTCTTCCCACCTGTGGATAAACACTAAAGAAATTACAGAATCATTCATAGAGTCATAGCAGAGTTTGGGTTGGAAGGGATCTTAAAGACCATCTAGTTTGAGTCTCTGCCATGGCAAGACAACTTTCATTCTACCCAGTTGCCCAAAGCCCCATCCAACCTGGCCTTCAACACCTCCATGGATAGGGCATTCACAACTCCTCTGGGCAGCCTGGGCCTCTCTGCCCTCTGAGTGAAGAATTTCCTAACATCAAATCTAAATCTACCCCCTTAAGTTTAAAAATGTTACCCTCTGTCATATCACTGAACACCTTGATAGAGTCCTTCTCCAGCTTTCATGTAGGCCTCCATTCGGCACTAGAATGCTGCTCCTTCTCTTCTCCAGCCTGAACAACTCCAGCTGCCTCAGCCTGTTTTCATAGGAAGGTGCCCCAACCTTCTAATCATCTTAGTGGTTCTCCTCTGGATCCACTCCAACAGGCCCATGTTCTTATGATGGGGACCCCAGAGCTGAATGCAGTACTGTAGGTAGGGTCTCACAGAAGTGGGGCAGAGAGGGGAATCACCTCCCCTGCCCTGATGATCGTGCTTCTTCTCGTACAGTTCAAGACACAAGAAGTTTGCTTTCTGAGCAGCTGACTCATGTTGAGCTTCTCATCAACCAAGACCCCTAAGTGTTTCTCCCTCACGCCTGGCCTACTCTGTATCTGTGCTTGGGATTGCCTCAACCCAGGTGTAGGACCCGGGCCTTGTTGAACTTTACAAGGTTTGCATAGGCTTTCTTCGAGATTGTCCAGGTCCCTTTGGGTGGCATTTCTTCCATTCAGCGTAATCAGAAAGTCTGCTGAGGATGCACTCAGTTGTACTCTCCATGTAACCAACAAAGATGTTAAATAGCGTCAATCCCAGTACTGACTCTAAGGAACATCACTTGTTCCTGGTTACTTGTGGTGTGCAACATGATGTAAGGTAACAACTCTTTGCAGCCATCCAGCCAATTCCTTATCCACCAACTGGTCCATCTGTCAAACCTAGGTCTCTCCAGCTTTAGAATCAAGGATGTTGTCCAAGCTGGCATCAAATGCTTTGTACAAGTCCACATAGATGACATCAGTTGCTTTTCCCTTATCCACCAGTGTTGCAACCCCGTCATAAAGGCCACCAAACTTGGCAGGCATAATCTTCCCTTAGTGAAGCCATGATGGCGATCATCACCTCAGCTTCATGTTTTCCATGTACCTTAGTATAATCTCCAGGAGGATTTGCTACATGATCATACCAGACACTGAGGTGAGATTGTCTTTGTAACATCAAAATAGTCTTCGCTGGCCAAAAAGGATTTTGCTTGCCAATGACAAGTAGTAGTATGTGATCATAGGTAGTTCATTTTTCCTTTAAATAAGATTAGATTTTCAGCATCCTTGGTAGCACAACGCTGACTATGCAGCAGTATTCCATGATTTTTAAGGTTCTGCATTAAGCAGATATCAAATTTTCCACGGTTGTTGGAAAGTATCCCATTATATGCCTTCACAGCATGTAATTCTATCACTGTTAACACTTGAAATCAGCAACAGCAACCATGTGCAAACACTCTCGCTCTAGTCACCGCATTATGTGCAGCTAAACTGAGCTATCTATGATTGTACTGCTGGATTCCCAGGGTGTGCCCACGCTCTGCAGGAAAGGAAAGGCTTGCTTGTAATGATTTGGTTTTTTTCCACTTCAAAGAAAGAAGTGTACTGTGAAGAATTCCACCTGTCTCCTTTCAGCATTGTATTAGAAAGATGTCAATATTGGCATTTTTATTTATTATGTTTCATAAAATAGTTGGTATTATACAAGGTCTGTGAGAGCCATTGAGGTAACTAAGGAGCAGGATCTGAGTACATGACCTGCATTTAGTTATGGGTAAGTCCAGTGTTGGGTGTCATCCCATGCATGAGGATCATGTTGCATCATTCAACAGCTGTGGCTTTGATGTGCCTCCATGCTAATTAAAGGACTGGATTAAGGGACACCTGTTTAGAACAGTTCCCAGGCAGTCACTTGTGTGCACTGCCCAGGAGGACTACTCTGCATTCTGGCCTATAAGCATTTGCTTCAGCAAGTAAACTTTTAAAGAAAGTGACTTGCTGGTACTGAATGGAAGCAAAATCTGAGTAAGAAAGAAACTATTAAGATGCTGCATTAATAAAACTGTTTTTACACAAATGTCTCACTCGGATATTGGGTTTGATGCTGGCTAGGTGGTGGAGGGATTGGCTCGTTTTTCATTAGATTGGTCATTTACATGGCTTTTGGCCTCATGCAGATTTGCAGGTGAGTTACTAGGCAGGAGCAGATAATCTTAAGGGGCACTTCTGTGATTCCTTTGAGTGTACCTAATACTCCCTGCACTGTCTGATAGAACTGAAGGGGATTATGACTGTGCAGTGAAATGTCTGACATGTATAGCTGCTAGTTAAAGGAATTATAAGCAGCGGCCTTTGTCCCAAAATCTCAACAGTTTTACTTCACAGCAATTACAGTAATTTCAAGTTTTTCTCTTTATCATATCTAACACAGGAAACAATTCTTAGTCTATCATCATTTTTCCATCTTATTAATCCACTGCAGTTTCAAGGCCATTAATACACAGAGGTTATGCCTTATCTTTTTTTTTTTTTTTTGACATCCTCTGTGTCTGTGTGTATATGTATGTATTATTCATATGATACAAAGAAAAAGCATATCTTTATATCTAAGTATATAGATTATAGCATTCCTATTTTCAAGGCAGCTGTTCAAAAACATGTTTGCATACTTCCTTACTTATCAGACTACACACTAAACTCAAATTCTTCTGTCCTTGAATGCTTTTGCTTCAGTTAGCCTTTTCCAGGCATGTCTGTGGCTGTCTGATTGACCTCTTCTTTGCACGAGCTCCCTACGAATTCCCTTCCTGCAGGGCAACCTCTTTTAGAGACTTGGGATGTCTCACCAAACATGGGTTCACACTGTAAGGTTCAGGGAATGGGGATATCACAGGACTGGGGTTAAGGTGGAGTCCCTAGCTCCAGCCCTCTCAGGTACAAGTTTTCAGCATCATAAAAGTAGCTGCAGGACAACCACAATTGCAAACTCAGGAGAGGCAAAGACTGATCACTGAAACTCTGTAACAGAGGGTTTGGCTCCCTGCGCACATCTCTTTCCCCTACTCTTTAACTAAAATAAGGTTTGTGATCTGGAAATCTACAGGACACAAAGAGCAAGAGCTAGCTCAGGTGTCTTCACTTATTTCCAGCCATGTCAAAATGAATAAAGTACCTTTAACCAAAAATAATTTTGAAATTATTGAAGGCTTACCTCATCATTAACGTTAAGACCACGACTCCTTGCATGTTCTCTGTCGCATCGGTGAAGTTTTTCATTGTAACCCTCTGGTCTTTTAAAAATGGAGTCGTAGGTGGAAACCCCTCCTGCCTTTAGAAAAGGAGAAAAAATGGCTAAATAACAGTCCTCTTTAAATTCATACGATATAGAATACATACAGAGGATTCAATAATAATGCAGTGGACACATAACATCAGAGTATGACAACTGTAACACATCTGAGCTGCCATTAGCAGGCTCGGGTCATTCTTGTGAAATAACGTGCAATAAAAATACTGAATAATATGTGATTTTTTATTTTTTGATCTGTCCATCTTTGAAATTTCCCTTCTGGCAAATTACCTCAATTTTTCCCTCCAATCTGTTGAAACTTTGGAACAGAAAATCAATTTGGAATGAAAAATGTGAAGGTGCCCCACAGTGGAACCGCCATTTAATTTCTAATTAAAGCAGAACCGAGAAGAGCTCAGAAACCTGCCACAGTGGTAATCCTGTAATCTCTCATACATGAAAATAAAGTAAACCACAACACAGAACATTACTGTATTTATGATATCTGTTGTCAGAGTTACAGCTGAATAACATGAAAGATCTGATCTGCTAAAAAATGCATTCGTGAAATCTAATTTTTAAAAAAGTGGAGGAATTTCAAATACAAAAAGCATTCTCATGAAAAGGACAAAATCCCCTGCTGTAATATGCTGTCAGTTGCTTATGTTCTTCATTAAAAAGTCAACGGATTACTGGTTTTATACATGACTTTTTACAAACCAAAAAAAAATTGTGCATTTTCTTCTGCCTTTTTTTTTTTTTTTTTCCCCTTTAACCTTTAAATGTTACAGTGTGCTTAATTTAGCCTTTGGAGAATTCATGCCCTTTGAGACTCACCATTACTGTTCTCCAAAAACATTCAAGTCAGGGCAGGTCAAGAAGGCTCCCTCAGAAGGAAATCTCAAGCAAGAATGCTAGCAATGCATCACTGTAATCACACGTTTCTATTGGAAGCACAGCTCTACTACTTGGTTCTGCCAAGAGGTGCTTTGATTTGCAACCTGTACATCCCTTCATTCCTCAGAAATTATCAAGTCTCACAGAATTTCAGGCATATTCAAGAGCATTTTGCATCTGATTTGCTACTTTCATTATTCCCATGCTTCCTTGATTGTCCTCTCCTCTCCACATTACCAGTTTTGTTTAGAATTTTGGTAGGCATCTAATCTCTGCTCACTATTGGGAATGTTACTCGCTCCTTTGTTTTTCTTCATGTGGCATTATGTGTCTATTACTTGTTACCTGTGTCAGAGCAGATGATTTTTTCTGAAACTTGCAGATAGTAGCCAACCTGTTAAGAGTTAGCGCTTGTCCCTGGTCATCTGTTTAAGTTCTTCTGTGCAAAAACAATTCTATGCTCAAAATCCTGCCTCTTTGCTGTTATTTCCCAGTTATTAAATGCAGACTTACTAGGACGAGGTGGAGGGGCATCCTCTGTGTACTGCTTCTGGGGCTAAGCACTTTGCATTAATATACATTACTATATACATTAATATTCCAACCACACAAAAAGTAGATAAACTTTTTCCGTATCACAGAAGGGGAAGCAGGACAATAAAATGGATATAATAACTTACATAAAGTAGTACAGGGAGTAGTTGTCAGCCAAAGGATTAACAAGTGGAAATTTCTGGCATTGGGACACATGCTAGAACATCTTTCTCTATTTCACTCTGCTTTGGCCTCTGGACATACAGGTTTCATTTTCTTAAGTACTTTTCTGGTTGTGTTTTTTTTTTTTTTTTTTTTTTTTTTTTTAATAAATTTTTGTTTACAAACCTTGCCACTGGGAGTGTGAAAGCAAATTTTGTATTGTAAACAAAAGTACCAGCATATGGTTGTTAATTCCATGCAGATTGGAGAGCCATTCTCCCTGCCAGCTCCATCAACCCCAAATACACCAGCCAAGCCCTCTGACCTTCCCTAGGCCTACTCCTGTTGTTCTCTGCCTTACCACACTCTGTTATGCACAACACCACCTGTGCTCCTTAACATCTGGCACGTTCCCAAAGCGATGCTGAAATCCACAGGATTGAATCTAAAACGGCAAATCTTGTCTTTCAACAATGCCACGCAAACAGTGCTGGCAAAATAAATAAATAAATAAAAAGTGTCACAGAATCACTAGGTTTGGAAAATATCGCCAAGATCATTCGGATCAACCATCAGCTCATCCCCACCAACCATGTCCCTCAGTGCCACGTCCACATGGCTTTTGAACACCCCCAGAAACCGTGACTGCAGCACCTTCCTGGGCAGTCTGTGCCACTGCCTCACCGCTCTCTCTCTGAGAAGAAATTACTGCTAATATCCAACCTGAATCTCCTCTGGCACAACTTGAGGCCATTCCCTCCTGTCCTACTGCTGTTACCTGGGAGAAGAGGCTGACCCCCACCTGACCACAGAGCCCCTTTCAGGGAGTCGTAGAGATTGATTAGGTCTCCCTTGAGCCTGCTCCAGACGGAACGATTGAGCTTCTGTCCTTCATCACTGTGCAGCCACTGAGCAACCATTTATCTGCCTTCTGCACCATCCAGTGACACTTTCCTTTACTACCTTTTCCCCCTCAGCCTGCAATTCACACCCTGGAAACGCCAAACCTCCTTCCCAACCACAAAGTGCTACTGCCCGGTGCCCTGCCCTGCCCTGCCCTGCCCAGCCGCCCCTCACCTGGGCCACCCGGTGGAAGTAGCTGAGCTCCGCGGGACCTTCCCGCCGGGGCGGGATGTAGCTGAAGGCTGACAGAGAGGAGACGGGAGGCGGGCGCCTCCTCCCCAGCCCGCTGCCGCCTTCCTCCACGTCCCCTCCTTGCTCCCCTGCGCCCGCTGTGGCGGCGGACGCCATGTTGCCGTTACCCGGTAACGCTCTGCCGTCTCTCGGCACCGCGGAACAGGTCGGCGAGGGGGAAAGCGGCAGGCGCAGCACTCGGGGTGCGTTTATGTGTGAGGCGGTTTGACAACGCGGAGCCCTCGGCCCGGGCAAGAGTTGGTCACGTATTAAACCTGGAGATGCACATTGACGAGCATGATGCGCGAGGTTTCAGCTCGGCTTTAAGCAGCAGTCTCAGAGCCTCCTCACTGGGCAGCGTGCCCTGCTCCCAGCCCAGCGTGGCCTCTGACACCTTCCTCCTTCCAGCTCCTGGTTCATTTCTGTCTCTGGAGGCTGGGAAAGCAAATGAGAACAAAGCTGGACCAAAAGAGATATTTATTTATTGATTTGTTTTCCCCAAGGGGATCTTTTGCACTTTGCCAAAATTCCCTTCCGTGGGAGCATTTTCACACTTGGAGAAGCTGAATAACAAACACACCAAAACATGGTATTTCCAACAGAACGAGGCATCTGCATCTTGAAGAACCTGCCAACACTCAGTGCCAAGCTAGGCATGTTTTTCTGAGTTTTAGCCCTTTCAGGTTGATTTGAAATCTTGCATGCTCACTTTGGGGCACTGACAGTGAGCAACTCCCAGCTGCAACTTCAATTAAGTGATTAGCTCTAAAATTGCTCTACCCCAGTAACACCTGGCTCCTAGTTTCAATATTCATTTATTTGCTTATTTTATATTAATACACACGTGTAACTGGCTGTTCTCTTTCCTCCTGTACTGCTTGGGAATATGTGACCAGCTTCATTTTGTGCCCTGGCACAGGCTGCCCAGGGCAGTGGCCACGATACCAACCTGGTGGAGTTCAAGCAGTGTTTGGATACTGCCCTCAGACATATGGTCTTGTGTTTAGGTAGTCCTGTGTGGAAGCAGGAGTTGGACCCAGTGAGCCTTTTGGGTCCCTTCCAACTTGGGATATTCTATGATTCTATCGTGTTGCTACTCTTTTTGGCAACTGCAGTATTAGTGCCATAGGTGCAATACTGCCATTATTATAATTGTTAGTATTTTTTTGCAAGCTGTTTCGAATCAGTTTTTCAGACATCTTGATTTTTAACTGAACATCAACTTAAAAAAAAAAAACAAACAAAGCATTCAGGATACCTAAATCTTCATAACCAATTCCTATAGGCATGTTGAGCCCACATTTGATGTAAACTTCCCATTTCTACTATATGGCTTCCATTCTTCATTCACTAATAAACTGAAAAATGTAACTAGCATCTTGCTTCTTTTCTAGTGCAATGGTGAGAAATTTGTACTCTGTAGACTTTTAATCATTCATGACAATTTCCATCTGCTCATCTAATAATATCCTTCTACCAATTTGGGTTTTCCTTGTAACATTAGTCAAATTACCACAGAATATGTGAGCAGTGGAGTTTTAAACAATAGTTGTCTGACATCAGCTTCCTACACAGAGATGCCACTGTGCAAGTGCTGTTTTGTAGTTTAGTACGAGCACCAAGTGACTGCAAACCATAAAAAGCAGTTCAGCTGAAGCTGCAGCTGTAAATACAGCCACAAGAAATTGTTCACCAGAAGTCTAAACTAAGGTACACAGGATTCCTGAAGTCACATTTGAAATGTTTCTCTCTGATTCTGTTCTCGGTGTGGCAGACAAGAGATTTGAAAAGATGAAAGAAGAGGTATTTGCAAGTTTTCCCATCAGGGTCAGGTAACCTCTAAGCAGCAAAGTTGAGACTGGCGCTGTGAAGAAGCAGCAGGAAGCAGTCATAGGTGACACAATACCTATCTCCAGGACTGGTGCATCTACTTGCTGGGTTTTATAGACATGGAAAACACTTCAAGACAAGACATCAATGATCTGGTGCGAGTTGGTTTCCACCTATCTCAGTAGGGAAAATATTTCTTATCCTTTAACTTGGCAAGACTGATTGAGGGGACTTAAACTAGGATCGATAAGGGAAGGGGATACCATTAGGAGCACTGGGGTTATGCTAAAGGATGATGTGGCACTCTCTGAGGCAAGGCTAATGGGATCATCTGTGTTATTCCAAAGAACACAGCATATTCAGGAGCATTCTGAAATGCTTATATACTAATGCACATAGTATGAGAGACAGATGGGATGAACTGGAAGATTTGCTCCTCTCCCAGAGCACTGATATCATTGTGAGACTTGGAGGGATGAGTCCCATGACTGAATGCTGGGATGGAAGATTTTCAGCTGTTCAGGAGGCATAGGCCAAGCAGGCTGGGGGGAGGTGTTGCATTTACATAAGGGAGAGACTAGACTGTATGGTCATTGACGTTAGGGATGATGTGGCAGGGAGCTTCTGGATGAGGATTAAGGAGACAGGTAACAAAGTGGAAGTTGTTCTAGGTGTCTACTGTCTACTGCCCACCCAGGACAGTAGCATAGACGAGCTATAGGCAATTAGGGGATTTTTTGGGATTGATTATCTCGTCCTTATGTGAGACTTCACCTTCCCAAACATAAACTTGGAATATCATACTATTATGACAAGTATGTCTGAAAATTTCTGAAGCATGTTTAAGATAACATCCTGTCACAAGTACTGAGTGAACCAACTATAAGAGGAGCCACCCTGGGTCTGTTGTTTGAGAATAGGAAAATCCTCCTGGAACTAGGGCAGAAAAAGAAAATATATGAGCTTTAGAAGCAAAGTCTGGCTTCAGAGGGAGAGTACAAGGTGGCAGTTTGCATCTGCAGGGAAAAGAGTGAGAAAAACCAAAGCTTATCTTACTTGACAGTGGCTACTGTGATGTCAGATACACAAAAAATATTTTTCTAAGTATGTCAGTAGCAGCAGGAGGTCTAAGGAAAACACTGCACTGATACTTGATGGTCAGCTAACAAATAGGGATGAGAGCGGTGAAGGCATTGAATGACTTTTTGCCTTAGTTTCTAGTATTAATGATAGATCTTGGACTGCCTGGTCTTTTGTGTTGAATGACTGTGACCAGAGAAGCAGTGACTTTCCATCGGTGGTCACAGAATTGTAAGGGCATGAGAGAAGATCCAGGAAACTACAGACCTAGTAGTCTCATTTTGGTCCTGAAAAAGTTATGGAGAAGGTTATCCTGGGGATACTGAAAGGTATTTAAGGAACATAGCCAAAATGGAAAAGTCCTCTAACCACTTGGTGGGTGAAGGAGAGGCATTGCACATATTCTTTGATACTGTCTCTCATGGCATCCTGCAATGGTATGATAAACAGGTTCACACTGTGTTGGGTGATTATCTGAATTTTAGAGCTTAAAGTGTCCTACGTGTGAATGGGGCTACATCAGACTGGCAGCTGGTCAGTAGCAGCTGGTCAGTAGAGTACTCTCCAAGGCTCGGTTCTGGGGCCAGTCCTATTTAATGTTTTTTATCAGTGATCTAGATGCAGAAGCTCAATGCATCCTTAGCAGGTTTGCTGATGATACTAAACTGGGAGGTGGTGTTGACTCTGGAGGGATCAGAGGGATCTAGATAAGATTGGAAGATTAGATATGATCAGTAGCATGAATTACAACAAAGGAAAATGCCAGGTTCTGCAACTGGGATGGATGCAGGTACAGACTGGGAGAAGAATGGCTGGAGAGCATCTCAGGAGGAATGGCCTTGGGGGTGTCAGTGACAGCATGAGCCAGCAGTATGCAATGGTGGACAAGTGGACAAACTGCATTTTGGGGTCCACTGAACACAGCATAGCCAACTGATCCAAGGAGGTGATTCTCCTCGTCTGTTTAACACTGATGTGGCCTCGCTTTGAATATTACATGCAGATCTGCTGCTCCACAGTATAAAATGAATTTTAAGGTCCTTGAAAGCATCTAGAGGAGGGCAACAAGGCTGGTAAAAGGACATTTGGGCTGTGCAGTCTGGAGGAGGCCGAGGAGTGACCACATTGCTCTCTGCAGGTCCCTAAGGAGGGGAAGTGCAGAGTGAGGTGCCAGGCTGTAGTTCCTGGTCACCAATGACAGGACATGTGGGAAAAGCACAAAGCACAATGCCTTTTTTTACTGTGAGAGTGATGAAACATTGGAACAGACTTCTTAGAGAGGTGGTTGATGCCCTATGGCTTTCAGTGGATAAGAAGCATTTGGACAATGCCCTCAGTAAGATGCCTTGGCTTTTGGTGAGCCCTGGAATGCTTTGGCAGTTGGGCTAAATGATCTCTGAATGTTCCTTCCAACTGAACTATTCTCACTTCTGCTCCTCTCCCTACAGCTTTTATACTTATAACAATGTCTCAAAGGCAGGATGAGTGTTCTGAAATATCAAACTGGTTGTTGGAAAAACTTAGCAAGAAAATTTGTCAAATTAATTTGGTGAGGCAAATGGTCAGAGGGGAGACGATGATGAGACAGAGATGGTGACAGGATGGACCCAAGAAGACAGATGACATGTAACTAAACAAGCTGTTGAAATGCAGAAAAAACACAGTAGCAGTCTTCTTACTGCAAGGTGACATACCTGTTTCAAGCTGGTGGCACTTACAGCAGAGATGGCTACGCAGCTGTTAAATCAAAGCTCAGCAATTCAGTTCCTCTCCTTGCTGTTTGGCCTCAGCATGTATCAGAATGCCATGTATTCCTGAGCCATGAAAGAGAGACAGCCTTTCCAACAAATGCTGTGAGCCATCATCCTTGAAAAAGAAGCTGAAGCACAGATGACTCTAAAACTGTCCAGTTTCTGCTGTAATAGATTTGGTCCTCAAGTCAAGCCATTCATCTCACACAAGTGCTTGTTTCTTCAAGGCCCTGAATGAGTGACAGATTGTCTCTTGCAGGAAGAAAAAAAAACTTCATACTGAAGTACAACCAAAAGGAAAATTAATTATCAAAGGACAAGGTAATCATCATGTAAAACTAAATCTGTCAGCATATAAACATTCCTGATGATATGCCTAATTGTTTGTCCTGATACAAGGTTCTGAAAACAATATGACAGACTTTCAACACCTCTCCTATGAATGTGCACAGCCTT